GGGTGGCCAGCTGGACACCACAAAGAAGGTTAGGTTTGGGGGTGCATGATGAATAGATGTGAGGCTATAGTCATCTATCCCCCAAGAGTAAAGCAGAAAGAACCAACTTTGAGGAAGGGGATGAGACGGCGGCTGGGTCAGTTCTTGTCCTGGTCTCGCCCATCAGTGGTTTGTATAAAGATGAAGAATTGTGATGACTGACAGTCAACACACCGGAAAACAGAATCAGCATTCTAAGGGAACATCAAATGTCTAAGTGACTGGGCTGAAAACAGCCAGATGAGATTAAATGAGGAGAAAAGTTACCCCTGGCCTTGTTCAGGCCTCACCCAGAAGTATAGCTCACGTGAGGCCTGGCTTCTTAGTGGCTCATGTTGTTGCAAACACAATATAACCGGTAAGTAAGAGGCAAACACAAGTTGTTACTCACCACACAGAGGCCGAAGACTTTTGAGCAATTGCAGGCTTGTTGCACGTCAACGTTGTCTTGCTACTGCCCCAGGTCATTAAACAAAGCAGCTGGAGTAAGGGAGGCTATAGCTCAGGGGGTGACATCAATTCAGCTTAGCCCCTGAGATGGCATGAACCTACCAACCAGAAGAGGCTCAGCTTGTACCATCAGAAAAGGGGTTTGCCTGCTTCTATTCCTTTTCCTTGAACTGGAGGATGGAGAGGGAGGGTCATGCCCACAGCGAACTCTGAGAGTGGGGCCCAGGAAACACAATGGCAGCTGTTTAACAGCCACCGTGGATGAATTTCAATATCTTACCAGCCTGGAGTTCCCATTGGCTTAATGTCAGTCCAGGGACAGAGCTGTTCTGTTTGGGGGAGGGATGGTGTTCAAGTGATGGCTAGCTACTGTGTCTTCAGAAAGAGTATTGGCAAACCTTCGTACATCAGGGAGAAAGAGACCTGACTGGATAGAGGTGTTTAGCCTGGAGAAAATAAAGCCAGAAAGATGTGCAAGTCTGACATGTGGGAATAAACCAGATCTGTTTCTGTAACCCCAGAACACAGACCTGGATAATTGTGTGGGTGGAAGGAAGACTCACTATTTGGCTTCAAGAGAAGATGACTGTTTCTGAGGGGGTGGTGGGAATACTGGAGTTTGAACTCAGCGCTTTTGTGCTTATTAGGAAGGGGCTTTATCATTTGAACCATATCCCTAACCTTTCTTGCTTAAGTTATTTTCCAGACAGGGTCTTGTGTTTTTGCTGGGGCCAACCTGGACCACAATCCTCTTAACTTATGCTTCCCACATAGCTGATGACAATAACATGCCGTTGTGCCTGGCTTGTGTAAAGATGGCTACTTCATTAAATATAACCAGACTGAGCCGGGTGCTGGTGGCTCATGCATGTAATCCTAGCAACTCAGGAGGCTGAGATATGAGGATCGAGTTCAAAGCCAGCCCAGGCAGCAAAGTCTGTGAGACTCTTTTTTTTTTTTTTGGTTCCAGTCACAGGGCCTGAACTCTGGGCCTGGGCGCTGTCCTTCAGCTCTTCAGCTCAAGGCTAGCGCTCTACCACTTGAGCCACAGTACCACTTCCGGCTTTTTTTCCTTTTTGCTTATGTGGTGCTGAGGAATCGAACCCAGGGCCTCATGCATGCGAGGCAAGCGCTCTACCACTGAGCCACCTTCCCAGCCCCATGTGAGACTCTTATCTCCAATAAAAAACCACCAGAAAACTAGAAGTGGCTCTGTGGCTCAAGTGGTAGAGCACTATCCTTGAGCTCAGGAACGGCACCCAGGCCCAGAGTTCAAACCCAATGACTGACTATATATATATATGTATGTATATATCACGCACCAGACTGGCTTCATAGTGTAATCCTGCTAATCTCTGCCTCCTAAGTAGTTAGGATTTCAAGTGTGAGCACAGCACCTGGTTAGAAAATGACTTTCAATAACCAGAGTTAACAAAAGTTAGAGCCTTGTATGGTAGTGCGTATTCCTGCCTATTCCTGGAGAACTTTCAGGCTACCCTTAGTGGGTGTTGGCTGGCCTGGATTGCTTTGGTGTCCTTCCAACATGGAGATGGTATCTGCAATGAACCAGGGAAAGACTATTGGAAGTAGCATTTCAGAGAGGAGAAAGTAGGGAAGGATTCTGGCTACTAGACTAGCTTTGGGGAGACCTTGCTTGTATGAGGGTCATTTGTAGGATGGCAGCTGTCTGGGTCCAACAGTATTGGGCTGCTCATCTTGGTGACACTAACTTACTCCCCATGTACCTGGTATCACTAAGACTGCCTAGAGCAGAGGAGAGGAGCAGAGGTGAGGGAAATAGTAGGAGGGGGGGCTCCTGGGTCCCCCAAGAAAGGGGTAAAGGCTGAGATGTGGCTGGAGAGGCCCCTGCCTTCTGAGCATGCTCCTCTCAGAGGGATTCTCTTGCTGGTGGTCCCTTGGGGAGGGGAAGGGGCAGGAAGGGGGGGGGGATCTTTAGGGGTCGCTATTTACTCCTCCCTTCCTGGCTGTTCCCTCTTGTCTCAGACATGGAGTCGGAGTTGCTGAGTGGGAGCCAGGACATCGTGCTGCACTCGGCGCGCCTGACAGGGCTGGAGAAACGTGTGGAGCAGATCCGTGACCATATCAATGGGCGTGTCCTCTACTATGCCACCTGCAAGTGATTCTCCAGCTCCAGCCTCCCCCCACCCCACTCATCAACCTCCTCCCACCCCACTCATCAGCCTCCCCCCCCCCCCCCCGCCGCTGCCCCGGTTGCTTCTGAGGGGGCAGGTTTGGCTCCAGGAGACTCCGATGCCACCTCCAGCCTGATTGGCACTACCCTGGGTGTGCAGCTGTAGGACCACCGTGGGCTACGGCAGTGGCTGCGCTGACAGGACCGCTGCATTTAAGGGACAGAGATGCCGGGGGTGGGGGTGTCATTATGGCTGGGAGTTCTCCAGCCAGGACAGCTGAACTGGGCAATGGCCCCACCCCTTGTCCTCCATTGTGACTGAATCCTGGACCAATACAAAAACTTAACAAAAAGTGAGGTGCAAATCGAAAACCCAATAAAAACCTTTGGAAAGAAACGTGGAAGATCAAAGAAAGAGGGTCTCCCTATCACGTGAACCTTCCTCACCATTTCCACCTCCCATGTGGCGTTCCTATGAGCTCAACCCCTTAGGTTGCCCTATCACATGGTCTGGCTTGATTCCTTCCATGAGAAACTAGAGGAACAATTTTCCCTTTGGAACAGCACTCCAGCTTCTGATTTACAGAGGAGGAAATAGAAATCCAAAGAAGGAAATAATGTGTTCAGATTTATAGAGTTCCCAAAGGTGTTGCCTGTCAGCTGGTTGGATCGTTTTGTTCTTCTCTCTTTCTGGTGATCGTGATAGATAACATCATGGTAGGCAAGGTGAAGCTCTTCTAGTTGGCAGTCTCCAGGCCTAGACGGTAGACTGGCAGACCCAGAGGTTTATAGCCCTAAGCCTGGAGAATTAAGGGCCTATCCCTCCTAGCTTTAGAAGCAAGAGACTTATCTCTCAAGCACTGGTTTTAGGCTTTTTGTTCCGTACTTTAGCCACCAGCATTTGACAGCTGTTTTCATCCTGGCTTCTAGCCCTGGTGAGCAGCAGCAGCAGGCAGCAGCAAGCACCTGCTGGTTCAAGCATCAGGTTTTAGATTCTATAGTAACTTCTAACACTTAGCAGCTACTGTTCTAGCTCTTGGGCCAGAGTATTGGGATCCATGACCTTTAAGGTTTGGCAGATTCCTAGAACTCTTCTAGCCTGCAGTTTCTTGTTTCTTGCTTTGCACAGCCTTCTATTTTTTCATCAGCCTTGGCTCTCCACTCTTCCTTATCTCTCTTGACTTCTGCTGTTCCTTGTTACCTTCACTGTCTGCTCCATGGAAAGTAGAAACTCTTACACTGTCCTTTTGCTGCTATTACTGCTGATGTCACCAGAGCCATCTGCTCTTTGTGTTGCCAGCTTAGCCTGCTCTACTAAAGACAAGAATCAAAAGTAGGTAAAGAAAGACCACTAGAATGAAGCCTGTTGGGGGGCTGGTAAGACCAGGATGTTGTCTCCTGGTTGACATGGAAAGTGGAGCCGTGCTTTGGTAGCAAGCATCTGTGTTTGCAGTGTTGCTTCTTCAAGGTATTCATGGAATGTATAAAGCAGCCAGGCTGCCATTGGGCCAGTCCCAGCTGTGGAGCGGGGCTGCTTGGCTGGTAGTCCTCTACTCAAGACAGCTGGATATCAGGGAAGGATCTAGCAATTGTCAGCTGGGGAATTAAATCACCTAGCCTGCCTTTCAGGGAATATAGCTTATTTGAAGGAAAATTAAGCATTGAAGAAGCGTTGACAATAAAGGCCTATCATTAACAGTAGTTAACCATGATCCATTCTTGGGGAAGATTGGGCCATTTTATCTGTCTTATAGACTGGACTGAGAGTAGAGCTAGCTACATCTCTTGGGCTCTCAAAGAGAAGTTGTAAATGAATGTGTGTTTTTGTGTAGGTGAGCAAATGTGGAGTAACAGTAACATTTATGTGCTAACAATGGCCCAGGTGCTAGGAGAGACACTTTATCTACATCAGCTTTTGTTGTTGTTGTAGTTTGAGACAGGGTCCATGTGGCCCAGGTTGGCCTTGAATTCCTTTTGCTTTCACCTCCTGAGTGCTAGGCTTACAGATGTGGCTGGTACTTCCAACCTACATTAACTTCTTCATCATTATTAGTTATTATTTATTGAGCACAGTGTTAGGTATAGCACCTGCATCATCTCATGATACAGACGAAGACATCGCTTACCCAAGATAAGAGAATGGATGCTGGAGTCAGTTGTCTGGGCTCCACAGAACCTACTCCAAAAGGTCATGAATTAGGAAACTCATACCTCTAAGTGTCAGCACATTGTAGGTGCCCAGCACATACGAGTTCTGACACATACGGATCAGCTACTGTTGCTCATTCTGGCTGACCTCAGGCTGTCCTTGAGATGTGCTAAGTTGCTTCTGACTCTGAAAGAACCAATTGAAGCGATGTAGAGAAAAATATGTCCATTTTATTGATCACAACACTGAGCAGGAAGCCGGAGAAGGAGAAGGTGAGGGTAGGAACACAGGGAAGGACAAGAGCGATGAACTTGACCTTCAGTGGGGTGTGGGAAGGGAGGCCGAGACAGGAGTAGAATTCCTGGCTGGAATGAAAATAGTCTCTAGTATAATTAATTAAGGGGTGAGGAGGACCGTGTGGTCACAATAAGAAGTCCTGATGGTCCCTAGTTATGGATTTCCTTCTATTTCCACCTTGGAGGTTGTGACACCGCTTTGGGGTTGCAGCAGGGAGGAGGGATCCACAGTGTTCTGGGAATGGGCTGGCTGGGTCTTGGTGCAGTTGGGAACTAATCCTGGAGGAAGGATTAGAGCTGTGAGCTTTTCCAGGCAGATCCCAGAAGCTGCCTAGCGTTCATGCAGAAGGACAGGCAACTACAATAGTGGGTTCAGTCTGGCCAAGAGGCCCGAGGCCAGAGAGGCAGGATTGAGTGTGTGCAGAGCGGGGGGTCTTGAGTAGAGGCCTCCATATGGCTTTGCTTGGAGAAGGTGGTGCAGCCTGGCCAGCCCACTAAGCTTTTCACAACAAACAACACAGACCCAGGTGAGCGCTATCTACAGACACTGCATGGAGCCACGACACACGTAGGGTATAGGGTCATAGAACAGGCAGGTCAGGGAGACCTGGAAACCAGCAGCTGCTTTTCCTCCTGCCCATAGCTTCAAGGACCCTCCAGGCTTTGGGGCTTCCTCCCACACTTCTGTGAACATCTGACCCAGGTGACATCAGGCTGCTGCTTCTGACCAGAACCCGCTCCTGCCACGCCCTGCTCCATGGCTCCCCATCCTCCCTCTTCAGGGTAGATGCCAGGGTTGGAAGGGCAGAGAAGAGTCGGACATGTCTCCTACAAAGGAAAGTGGTCCAGATGATGGTGGGGTTTCTATCTCAGGTCCTTTCATCCCATCATGTATGGAATCGGGCTTTCTTTCTGGGATGGAAGTTGCTCTGAGCCCAGTATCCTGGCCTTCTGCCCTTTATCCTCACCTGAAAAACTGCAGAGACACAGACACGAGCTCCCGCGATCACATAATGAGACAGACCCCAGTCTGCCCTGTCCGGCAGTGGGAGCTACCTCCATTTTTAACTGGCACCATGACCTCTGATTTGAAGTTCCTGAAAAGGAGACCAGGCAATGGTCTTAACATATTTGAGGAAGAAAGAAAAGCTGGGGTGGTGGGGTGGGAGAGAGGGCAAATGCTTTCTCTATCAATGATGTCCACTCAGCTTTTTCTTTCTGACATTCAGCAAGTACAAGCTCCTCTAGAAACACATGAGACATTAGGGTCCCCTAATCCCCACCTCTCCCAAACAGGGAGGACTTAGACACTTGGGTCTGATGCTTGCCACTCATACACACCCAGTGTGTGGGGGATTTTATCATCTCTGTTGCTTCACTGAACTTTTATAGTACCTCGATGTGAGGCGGGCTGAGCAGGAAAGGGTCCTTTCATGGACCCATTGTATAGATGGCTAAAGCAGAAGCGGAGACAGACACTGAGTTATCTTGAGCTAACAAGTGTTAGGGACAGGATCAGAAGTCTTTCCCTTGCCACCAGTCTAGACTTCTTTGCACCCTTAGACCTGCCTGAGAGAGGCCTTTAAAAAAAAAAATTGCCTCTGTCCCTTGCCTGAGTTCCTTCAGATCAGGTAGAGTGGGGATAGGGCTTTGTCTTTGCCAGGAAATACGTACTGTTTTTTGTTGGCCTTTTTGAGGAGCGTGGGCTCGGAGCAGTAGGAGGACTTTCCTTTGTTCCCAATACTCAGGCAGCTTGAACAGCAGCCACAGGGGCCTGTGGCCAGAGGCCCCTGATGCATGGGCACCAGGCTGCTGCTGATACGCAGGGAGCCATTGACCAGGCAGTTGAGGGACCTGCCCCCGGGGGCGGCGGGCTGGAGGCCTTTCTGGCAGGGCATCCTGGGTAATGCAGAGAAGGACTCGCTGGGATCCAGGACGGGGGCTTCTGTGATGGTGATCTCAGGGGAGCTGGCTCTAGAGTCTTCCGAGGCTGGGGGCGCCGGAGGCCTGTTCTCCACCTCTGGGCGGGCACCGGGGCTGTGCAGGCTCATGTGTAGCTTCCTCATGTGGTGTACCACGGCTGCCGCATTGAAGGCTTGCTGAAGAGACAGGGAGAGCAGGTATGGCCTCGGCAGCCCCCAGGTGCCCAGCCCACTGCTCATTTCAGAGAGGGACCAGGAGTCGGAGGGGATGCCTGGGGAGGCCTCCCCACCTGCCCCGCCACATCCCAGCCTCTCAACCCACCCAGCCCAGAAGACCATAACTCACCCTCCACTTGCTCTTGGCAAAGTTCTTTTGGATCTGGAGGCTGACGGATGGGTAAATGTCCCGGTGGAGGGCCGTGTTCCCATCGATCCTGGGTGTGAGAAAAGGGACCCTGGCTTTTGAGTGGCTGTGGACACTCAGCCAGGGGGGTGGACAGGGCTCTTGGCATCTAGGCCCATGTCCAAACATGTCCTATTGCTTGTAATAGGAGACAGTGGGAAAGCATAGTGCTCCATATCCCTCCCCAGGCATACCAGAAGAGGGCTTAAGTGTTGGAAAAAGTTCTTTTAGAGCAAACTGTAGCCTGGGAAACGAATCTGCCTATTGCCTGCTTACTGGGGATTGAACTCAGGGCTGCATACTTACTAGACAAGTGCGCTATCGCTTGAGCCACGCCCCTGGCCCCACCCCATTGCTTGCCTTTATAAGTAATATTTCACTAGGATACCTCCTGTGCATTCACTCAGGGGTTATGGCTGCTTTTGTGCTACTCAGCAGGGCTGAGTCAGTACCACAGAGCTAGTATGGCCAGCAAAACCTCAACTATTAACTAATTGAGCCATTATAGTAAAAGTTTACAGATCCCTGCATCATCAGGCATCATATTATCACTTTGGTTCAAAACCTTGCTTGGAAGTTAGCCTCTCCTGGATTCTTCCTCTGTGGGGCCATCGGATACAGCTGCCCCTCTTTCCTTTCCTTTAGCCTCTTAGTTACCAGCTGCTAAGTGTTCCTCAAACATATGCCATGTCCACATGTCCTGGAACAGCTAACTAGTAATGAGAGCCCTGGTCCCTGATCCCTAGGAAACTATAATCTGGGTATGTGGAGTTTCACCCTATGGGTTAGAAAGATGGACAGTGATCTGGTGATTAATTGAGAAATGGGGAGTTTGGCATGGGAAGTGTGGGTTTCAGGGGCTCTAGGGAAGGGGACCTGGATCCTAAATTAGAGGCAGGACCTTCTCAGTGGTTCACGGGATAGTTAGGAAAGAGCTTGGTTTATGGGATGGAGGGCATAGAGATGTAGTTCTTAGATCTGTCTGGAATATAGAAAATGTGTTGAAAATCTTTGGAAATACTGCTGGAGTGAAAGGGCCAGAACAGATTAGGCAAAACCCGGAGAGAGAAAGGAATCTTGTTTGCTGTGGCAGATTCTCAGGTAAGGGAGATTCTCAGGTAAGTGTTTCAAGAGCTCTTTGCCTGTTGGACCAATTGGCTGATTGTGATTGTGCTTAAAACCCTTCCTATGGAACAGGTTTTGCTCTTAACAGGTTTTGCTTAACAGGAGGTTCTTAAGAACAGAAAAGGGCTGCCTGCTGAGTAACTAGTTTCAGTGTGGCACCATGCCACCCAGTTCTGAATGACAGCCTCTGGTACTGACTGGTCCCGCCAGCTGCCAGTGGGAGGTCAGATCCTCTGGACTCAGTTCTGGAGATGTCTGCATCTCCAGGAGGCTCTGAGGAGCAACTGTGAGTCCCTTGAATGTCACAGTCGTCACTGGCTCAGGACTAGCAGTTCTAGGCAATAGCTCTGTGAGTGACTCGGAGTGGCTCTGGGGCCCAGGCTCAGCACTTAGGACCCACCCCATTTTTCACTCACCAGGGGTGCCTCAAGGCCTTGTCACAGGTGTACCGCTCGTTTGGGTCCTTTTCTAGCAAGTGGCAAATGAAATCTTTAGCTAAGGGGAACAAGCAAAGACACGACAACTAAGGACCAAATTTCATGACTGATGGAAAGTCACTTCCGGGCTGGTGGGTGGCTGTGAATACATCTTTAGCTAATCTTCCAAGGAGGTAATTTTAAGAGTCTTAGAGAAAGAGAGAGAGAGAGAGAAAAAAAAGAACTCCAAACCGCCTTACAGCAACCCACCATAAGCCACCCAAGAAGCAAGGCTCTGCACAGCCTCACCCACGCAGCGTTGTGGAAATCACAGGAGTCACGAGGCACCAGTGTGCCCGCACACCCTGCGTGTGTGTGTGTGTGTGTGTGTGTGTGTGTGTGTGTGTGTGTGTGTGTGTTTGTGCTGATATATGGGCCAGCATTGGCATGTGGGTTCGCATGTGAGCGCTGGCCCTAATCTCTACATAAAAAGCCCAATAAGGCATGTGTGATTTTCTTCACGCGGACATGGTGCTCCATCCTGATAGCTAAGCCCTTGGTTTTGCCACTCTTGCCAGGAATGCTTCTTTCCACCAGGCTCTGCTTGCCTGGCTTTTCAGCTAAGCTCCCACCCTCTGCCACCTCTGTCCCTAGGCACAGAAGGGTTCTACCTCTAGGAAAACAAGAACATCCAAATATTTCTCTCTGGCCTTTGAACCAGATGAAAATGTATCTACTTCTCCTGGAAGCATGTCCTGTTAAGATTCCCAGGGACTTCCAAGAGTCAAGACTGTCATCCTTTGCTAAGAGATTTTTCTCTTGGCAGCCTCTGCCTTGAGCCTGTGACCTTGACGGTCACCTCCACTGGCCTTACCTGACTCAGAAATGTCATCCCAGAATGGAGACTCAAACTCATAGTAGCCTTCTTTGATCTTCTCAAAAAGCTTAGACTCGGTTTCTTCATAGAAAGGAGGGTACCCACACAGCCTGCAGGGGGACAGGAGGAGGCATGCTGCTGGGTAGCCTTCTCTTCTTTGCCCAGCCTCCCACTGCATACACAGGTGAACAGGGAGGGTCCTACACCCACAAGGTGACCAGGATGTGACTCTGATTCAGGGATGGTTGAGGTCTCATAAAGAGCAAGGCACCCATGTTCACTGCTGCACTATTCAACATAGCCAAGCTGTGGAAACAGCCCAGATGCCCTAAAATGGATGAGTGGGTGAAGAAAAGGTGATCTCTATGGAGTCAATTTTACTCATCATAGCATTATGTCCTGTGTAGGAGAATGGATGGGCCTGGGAAAAAAATGGATGATGTTAGGTAAAGTAAGTCATGGTCAGAGAGACAAATGGCAAATGTCTTCTCTCATGTGGAAGTTAGATTTAAATCATGAACATATATGTGAAAAACATATAGAGTGTAATCTAAATTCATGCATGAAGAAATTGGCTGGGACTGGGAAGGTGGCTCAGTGGTAGAGCGCTTGCCTTGCATGCATAAGGTCCTCGGTTCGATTCCTCAGCACCACATAAGCAAAAAGAAAAAAGCTGGAAGTGGCGCTGTGGCTCAAGTGGTAGAGCGCTAGCCTTGAGCTGAAGAGCTGAGGAACAGCGCCCAGGCCCAGAGTTCAGGCCCCACGACCGGACCCCCCCCCCCCAAAAAAAAGAAATGGGCTAAGATATGCTATACTTAGGGGAGGATTCTAATAGTGTAGCTCCTTTGAACAACTAGCTTATAATAACAAAATGAATACTAGGACTCTAAAACATGTTTTGTTGTGTGTGGGGGGGGGCGGGAAAGAGGTGGGGAGCATGGGATCTAAGGGAAAGGGGCAAGATAAAAGGAGGGAGGAAGGTGGGGTGAAAACAGTCATAATATTCAATGTATGTACATGAAAATGGAACGAGGTAACCTGAGGGATGGTTGGTGATGGGAGAGATGAGGGAGAGTAATGGGAGAGGTGATACTGATCAGGATGCACTTTACTTATAAACTGACAAGGAGAATTGAAACCCCTTTGTACAACTACTTAAAGATCATAAAGACTTAACGCTAGGGCTGGGAAGGTGGCTCAGTGGTAGAGTGCTTGCCTCGCATGCACGAGGCCCTGGGTTTGATTCCTCAGCATCACATATGCAGAAAAAAGCCAGAAGAGGCACCATAACTTAAGTGGTAGAGCGCCAGCCTTTTGCTGAAGAGCTAAGGGCCAGCACCCAGGCCAGAGTTCAGGCCCCATGACCAACAAAAATAAATAAAAACAAAAAAAATAAAAACTTAAAGTTAAAAATTGTAATAATAATAATAATAATAAACATTATCCCAAGAGTATGTGTAGGAGCCGAAGACTGAATGGCATTCCCTCCAAACCCCTGGCACCTCTCCTTGTATTTCCTCAGACTCTTCCCTGCTCTGTACAAAATACCTTTCAGAATGTGCGGTAACTGTCTACCTGAATGTAAGTTTCACAAGAGATAGATTCAGGCTCTGTCCTTTTGTTCAGTGCCCTATTCTTTAGCACCTAGCCCAAGGATTGTTGAGTAAAGGAATGAATGAGAGTAATTATTCAGCAGAAATGGGAGAAAGAGAGTCAAATCCATTCTGAGAGATTAATGTCTAATAGTAGGGAGGTTATTTTCCTAAGGAGCAAAGTTGTTGTTGTTGTTGTTGTTTTTGCAGGTGAGGAAGGACAGTAGAGAAGAGGTGATAAACAGGTGAAGGAAAAGAGAGAGCTCAAGAAAGCACAGGGGAGTAAAAGAGAGAATCTGACCAGCTTCATACAGCCATATCTACCTTGGGTGCCACGGGAGAAGGGTGAGGTTGAGGAGAATTAGGTCTACGTGTGATCCAAGCCTAGCTTGGCCTCTTTTTTTCCTTGCTGGTCTCATCCAGTGGGACTCAGTACATTTATATATGGCACAGAGGAGGGGAAAGTCAGGTGCCTAATCAGTGGGTTGGTACACGCTGGGCTGTATTTGTATCACTTGCTGGAGATCAGGACAGGGGAAACCTTGGAGTTGTCAGCCTAAATAAGCTCTACATGTCTGCATTTGTGATGGGTAGGGGGATCTGAGACAGGACAGAGAGGAAGAAAGGGCAAGCAGGCCCTGAGACTTTTCAGGGACTGAGCCAATGCCAGTTTCTACTCACAATATGTAGGTGATGACGCCAATGGACCAGCAATCCACAGCCTTGCTGTAGGGTTTCTGGGCCAGCACTTCCGGAGCTGCAGCAAACCAATGGCAGAGTCAAGGCTGGGGGCAAGAGAAGAGGGCTATGGGGTGGGGCTGAAGGCCAGGAAGAGGCTTAGAGAGGTGGATAAATGTAGCCCAGGGGATAGTGGAGTTTTCCATGAGACTGAAAACTCCCAGTGACAGGCTGTGTTACACACGTATGAATACATCTTATTGTGATAATGAATTCTCCATCAAACTACAAGTTTACTGTGTCAGTCAAGTCTATATCACTCTTCCATTATATTGGAGGTCTCTAGAGCACCAATTTCCCCATCAGACTGAGTACTCTGTGAAAAAGGGCTGCATGCCCCTTCACACTCTTTCTACCAGTCAGGCTCTCATTTTCTCTTTTGGTTAGGATGCTCCAAGAGTAGGCAGTAACTTTGCCATCAGACTATGGGTACTTGGTGAAGGCAGATGTTTAGTCTGCTCCTATCTGATTGAGAAGGTTATGATGACAGGTAGCATGTCTTCCTCTGATTGGGATCCCTGCTGTTGATCCCAGATAAAATAGCTTTCTACCAATTGACTTTTTCTAGCAATTGACTTTTCCTTTCTAGAAAGAGTGTAGGTTCCCTTTCTTGTTTTTTGTTTTGTTTTGTTTTGTTTTCTTTTTTTTTTTTGTTTCTTTTTGGGTCCGGTCGTGGGGCCTGAACTCTGGGCCTGGGCGCTGTCCCTCAGCTCTTCAGCTCAAGGCTAGCACTCTACCACTTGAGCCACAGCGCCACTTCTGGCTTTTTTCTTTTTGCTTATATGGTGCTGAGGAGTCGAACCCAGGGCCTCATGCATGCAAGGCAAGCGCTCTACCACTGAGCCACCTTCCCAGCCCTTGTAGGTTCCCTTTCCAAGTTAGGGCTCTGCTTTCCACTTCCTGACTCCAAACAGGTGTTGCATTGAGGACAGGGATGCTCTCACTAGTACCCTGTCTTCTCTCACCTTTTTGGGAATCCTGGAAGGCTACAGGGCTGTTCAGGCAGGATACTCCATCTTTGCCAGTTCCTGGATTGCTTCCTAGGGCCCATATCTGGGTTTCTTAGGCATAAACTCAATACTTTGTGTATCCAGGCACCTAAAAAGTGTCTTCTAGAGTGGGATGAAGGAGAAGGAGCTGGTGTTCAACCCTTTAGCTCTCTACTGACTTCTGGGGCTGTGATCTTGTCTCTGGAAGGAAGTATCTTTGGAGATAGCAGTAAAGAATGTCTGGAGACTACGGGAAGGAGCAGCTTGTTTTTAAGGATTTCAGAGCCGTAGGGATAGTTCCAGTGGTAGATGAATTGGCTGGTCTTCATAGCCTAAGTGCAAGTTATGCCTGCATAGCCTCTGAAATTAAACTCCGTCTCTGTACAGTCACCCCTCTCTTGAATTTCAACCATGGGATTGAACACAGTCTGCTAGTCAACCTCCCCACCACGCCCAGACTTACCCACATAGCCAGGGGTCCCACAGGCCGTGGACATGACGCCACTCTGCTCCATCTTTGACAGACCAAAGTCTGTGATCATGATCTTTGAATTCTCTTCCGGGGTGAGGTATAGAAGGTTCTCAGGCTATGGGAGAAGGAAATACAGAGTATAAGACTTGATCATCTGAAGCACAGAACATTTTCTAACCCATTTATATATAATCTCTTCGGGAGCTGAGCCCTAGGCTCCTAACTCCAAGGCCAAGTTCATCTTTCCCCAAGTATGTTTCCCTCCCTCCCTCCGTCCCTCCGTCCCTCCCTCCCTCCCTCCCTCCCTTCCTTCCTTCCTTCCTTCCCCCTCTCTGTATCTTTACTCCTTCACCTCAGAACTTTATTTTATTTATTTTTTTTTGGGGGGGTCCAGTCGTGGGGCCTGAACTCTGGGCCTGGGCGCTGTCCCTCAGCTCTTCAGCTCAAGGCTAGAGCTCTACCACTTGAGCCACAGTGCCACTAACAGCTTTTTTCTTTTTGCTTATGTGGTGCTGAGGAATCGAACCCAGGGCCTCGAGCATGCAAGGCAAGTGCTCTACCACTGAGCCACCTTCCCAGCCCAGAACTTTATTTTATTTATAGACTTTTCTCAGTCCTATAACCCTTTCCCCTTCCCTCTCAACTTTCCTAGAATATTTGTTGGAATCAACCCTGGGCTAATTATCTCTGATCCCATCTAAGCCTGTTGCAATGCCTGGGACCCTACAGATCCTTGATGAATAATCTGTTAAACTTGATTTTGGCTAATGTGTATTTTGACATCCCATTGACAGTGAAAGGTTCAGGAAAAGACTGAAGTTCAAATGAACAGTTATTACTTAGCCACCTACGGTTTATTTAAGGAATGAAGACTGAAGTTCAAATGAACAGTTAATGTTCAAATGAACAGACACCTGAGGTTTATTTAAGGAATGAAGAGATAAAGAGGACTTGGAAGTCCAACTCATCCCGTCTTCTCCTTTTAGAGAGCTGGATTTCCCGTGACCCACATAGCTGAGGAGTCTTTGTCTGTTTCCCACTGAGCACTCCCAGCTTGGCACCTTTAAGTCTCTGTGGACGATGCCATTCTCATGAAGGTACTTCACTGCTGACAAGACCTGCTGGATCACCAGGCTGGCATCCTTCTCTGTGTAGACGCCTCGTTCCAGGATCCGGTCGAAGAGCTCCCCTCCAGAAACGCTGTGGGCACAGGGGCAAGAGTAAGAATCTAGCTCTTAGTTCAGGTGAAAGGAATGAAAATGTGTCTGCTTTTGTAACCAGGTGAAATACAGCTGTACTGGAATAGGCAACTGCCCATCCACTACAAAGGGTGTAGGGGGAAACATTTCTGTCTTAGAACACTTCCTCTGGATGCCTAAAATGATACCACTAGGCCAATATCATTTCTTTGATCCAAGCATTGACTTCTCTCTAGAAACTTACTTTAAAATTCAAGTGTCCCTGGTTGGGTTTATATGAGGAGTCAATAATCCCTTATTGTGGACTTTGTGTGTGTATGTGTGTGTGTGTGTGTATGTGTGTGTCTGTGTGTGTGTGTGTCTGTGTGTGTGTGTCTGTGTGTGTATGAGAGAGAGAGAGAGAGAGAGAGTCCTGGGGCTTTAACTCAGGGCCTGGGCACTGTCCCTGTGCTCTTTTTGTTCAAGGCTAGTGCTTTACCACTTTGAGCCACAGCACACTTCCAGGTTTCTGGTGATTAATTGGAGCTAAGACACTTGCCTACTTTCTCAGCCTGAATAAGCTAGGATTACAGGCATGAGCCACTGGTGCCCAGCTTTTTTGTTTTGAAAGCAGTTTTCCTTTCTGTCCTAGGACACAGGAAATCCCAATAAAACAGTCGATTTCATTTGGGCACAGAAAGAGGTGTGAAAATGAGATGAACTGTCTTCATATTAGGGTTTCTTCCCTCATTTTAGAAAACTGGGCTATCTAAAGCTGGAATTACACTAGGGTCTTTGGTTGTTTGGAGACTTTAATGGTATGGGATCTCAGGACTTAGGGAAGGCTAATGATCAAGTCTAACTCCCCACCACTGGAATACCATCTATACTATTTTTGTCTAGAAATTTTCTAGTTGGTACTGGATGCATAAGTGTCAGAGATTTCACTACATTCTGTGACACATTATTTTATCTTTGGGCATTTAAACATATTTCTATATGTTATATTGAAATCTGATGCTCTGTAGTTCCTTCTAGTGCATACCAATTCCATCTACTGGCATTGAACATTGAATAGAACAAGAGAAACATCCTTTAACATGAATCTTTTCATAAATCTACTGCAAAGCCAGGAGAATGCTGTCCTGAGGCTTCCTTCTCTTCTTTGGGATGAACATCTCCAGCCTGTTTCAACCATGACCCAGGGTTTACAATCTTCTCATCCTGCCTCCTGTTCCCAACTCTTCTATGAAATTAGAATGTGGCTATGCACACAGGATACCTCAGTGGAGTGGTGGCAAAGGAATAGAATTTCTCCAGCCAATCAAAGGCACAGCAGCCTCTTCTCTTGGTTTCTGCCCTTAAGTGCTGGACTCTACTATAGGAGTAGGAGGACCACATGAATTATGTTCTTTGTATACAGCCGATTATGAGTGGCTCTTTGGAGAACTAGAGCCACACTTCCACTTTTGGCTTTTGGCTGGTTAATTAGAGATAAGAACTTTATGGACTTTTCTACCAGGCTGGCTTTGAATCTCAATCCTCAGATCTCAGTCTCCTGAGTAACCACCATCAGCCTTCTGAGTGATGGTATGGTAATCCTTTGAATTGACCTCCAAAGCTTCACATGGTCCCAGTTAAATTGTTAGTGCCACACGGGTCTTTCCATGCCTAACCCTCTCCTTTGACTGTTGGTTACTCTTCTTTATTGGGCTCAGCGAGCCCAGGAGTTATTCAACTACTTAAACCTGAGTTAAGGCATTCAACTTTCCAAGGAATCGGCCTATGAGTCAAAAAGTATATTGTATCCATCCGTGCTAAGATGGCAGAGTTGAATATCTGTGCACCTAAGGGTATATGGTGTGCTCTATAAATACTCTAAAAATGTATATCTACAGTGAAGGGTAAGTGAATCTGACCTCTCAAGAGCACTGGCAAACCCACACAACAGCCCCTGTTACCCAGAACTCTTACTTGGTTGCAGCTGGTGATGGTGATGCAGAGAATTTTCTAATAAAACCCCACACAGCTGTTTTTAAATTCAAGTGGCTCTCTTTTTGAGAAAATCTTTTTTTATACTGAACTTAAATCTGCCTAGCTGTGGATTTCACTCCTCTAGTAATTTGACCCTGGGGTGATGTTAAATGTTTATTATCCAATGGACAGACATGGACTGGTCCGAAGGGACTCAAGTTAGAATGTTAGAGAAAGGTTTGGGTGACTGATGCTCTGCCTGACTTTATTCTTGTTGCTGGGTTGTGTGGAAATCTCAGAAAACCAAGGGAGAGGAAGAGAGCATCGGAAGAGCACTGACAGATATCTACCTTCTTTTTGAAGGAAACATTCCCGTAAGTAGTAATCCAGCACTGGTATATAAATCAGTCTCTAAATCAGTCTGACCCTAATGACTCAGTATTGCAGTGTCTCTTAAAGTAATTCTTTTTGAAAAGTACTGGAGATGGAACTCAGGGCTTTATGCTTGCTAGAAAGGCTTTCTACCATGCCATTCATGGCCCTTGGCCATTTTTTGCTTTGGTTACTTTTTGAGCTGGCCTGGACCTCGAGCCTCCTAATTTTGCTTCTTGCACAGCTGGAGTGACAGGCACATGCCATTGTGCCAGAGCTTTTTATTGGTTGAGATCAAGTCTTTGTGAACTTTATATCTGGGCTGGCCTCAAACGTCAGTCCTCTCCAGCTCAGTCTCTCAAGTGGCTAGGATTACAGGCCTAAGGCACGGTGTCCAGCTTTAACTCACCACCCTTTCTTTGCCACTGACCAACATCCTCTGAGCCTCCCAGGCCTCTGCAGACCTGTGTGGAGGAGGTGTGGAGGAGGCGGGTCACCCTCCACTTACAGCTGCATGACCAGGTAGTAGTGCGTGGTGCTCTCGTAGATGTCCTCCAAGGTCACAATGTTTTCATGTTTGATCCTGGGGAGGAAAAGTAAGTGACACAGTGAGAGCTATGTGGTCCAGACAAGGCTGCAGACTCAGTCACAAATTTCTGCTGGAGACATGCTTTGTTTTGTGCCATTTTGGGGCTTGAACTCTTGGTGTTATCCCTGAGTTTTTAATGCTCAAGGCTAGAATTCTATTGCTCAATCTGTAGCTCTACTTCCAGTTTTTTGGTAGTTAATTGGAGATTAGAGTCCCATGGGTTTTCTTTTCTAGGCTAGCTTCCACCCATGCTCCTCAGATCTCAGCCTTATGAGTAGCTAGGATTACAGGCAGGAGCCACCAGCATCCGGCCTGCTGGCAATGTTTCAGAAGACTACGTCCCTGGGAAACCTCCCTAACAAGGAGGCTGTCACCAAATAATCTCAGAGAAGTGATCTCCAGGGAGCTACTCCATTAACATCTATAGAATGAACAATTGATCTCCCTGCTTTCATGGAATGAAACCATTTCATTGATATCATAAACTTTATCAAAAGAGGAAGTTAAATCATCAAGGAAATGAGAGAGACAGAGAGAGAGAGAGAGACAGACAGACAGACAGAGAAGGTGTGGCATTGCTCAAAAAACAATGTATTCTTTACCTGACATGTAACTGTAACCCCTCTGCATATTGCCTTTATAATAACAATAACTTTTTTAATGAGTGAAAGAAGAACTAGAGATGTAGCTCAAAGGTAGATCATAAACTTAGCATTTGCTAGGGTGTAAGGCTTGATCACCAGTAAAGTATACACAGAGAGAGAGAGAGAGAGAGAGAGAGAGAGAGAGAGAGAGAGAGAGAGAGAGAGAGAGAGAGAGAGAGGGCAGGCTAAGAGAGTAGCTTATAGTATAAAATGGGTATCCAGATCTTTCAGAAACATTGAGTGAAACAAACTTGCTATGATAGGACTGACCTTGGTTAACTAGCTCTCTTTTCAGTACACATAGAGGAACTTACTTCCTGTGATCCTCAACTAGGGGTTACTTGGCCCATGAGTGGACATTTGATAATCTGACATCCAGGAGGTGGAGGCAAAAATGCTGTTTAAAATCTATCCATACATAGGGTAGCCCCCAATGCAATAGAGAATGAATGGTCTGGTCCAAAATGTCAGTAGTGTTTTGTGGTTGAGAAACTCTGCCCTAGGTTACCTATGTCTGGGATCACTCAGAGACTGAGTCAGGCAGAACAATCCTATGCACCAAAGGCTTGGTTTTCCAGGCAGCAGTTCTCGCATGCCTGCAGAAGGAGGAGCTCTCCAGGAAGTTTTATGCATGGCTGCGGAACACAACAACTTAGACTCTGAGTCAGTTGGGCCTGAGTTCAGAGCTGGCTCAGGTGTTTACTATCATTAGCTGGCTTTCTCAAATCTTCTAAGCCTCATTTGCCTTGTCTGAAAAATACTTTGCTTTTACACAGGGTTATATCAGGATTCAAAGAGAAAGTACTTAGTCTAGCACCTAGAAGGATAGCAAACACATAATCAGTATTATTTATATTATATTATATTACTGTGTATCCAAACTAGAGACATTTAAGAAATACAGATCTCTTGCAAGGGTTGCTTGATGAATTCAACTGTACTCATCAGCTGACAATACTAATGTTAACTTGTTGAACAGTCACTCACTGAACAAATACTTGCTGAATAACTATGCTGTTGATACAGAGTGATAAAAACAACTATAGTCTTTGCTCTCCATCAGTTTAGCCCCTTCCTCTGTCTTAACCTTTCTAGTGCCTAGATTTATTTTCCCATCATCCTACTAGACAACTCCATGTAAAAATAAGTGGGTGCCTACATTCAATATGATCTAATCATCCCATTTTTTATCCCAAGTGATGGTATTATTTGGTTCTCTCTCTCTCTCTCTCTGGATCTTGCACATACTAGGCAAGTGCTCTACCACTGAGCTACACTCCAACATTAAGACATTTTTGTACTTAATGACACTTATTTGTTTACTCACACAATCGTGTTTAATGATTTTTTTCTATAATCTTACAGGTTAATACCAGACTTAAGGACTTTTCTCTCTGAAATACCTTCGTATACCATCTTCTGATCCCCACAGGATCTGTTTCCTCGCCCATGCCTATATTATTAAGAAAAGCTTGCACCTACTACATTTGTTTTCTTCCCCTCCCATCCTTCAGCATACTTAAAATACTCATCTGATCATGGGACTCCTTACTTAACATCCTTGGATGACTTCTTTGCCCACCAAATAACCAGTATTCCATAGCATGACATAGAAGATGCTGACCCTTGAGCTTCCTCTCTTTAAGTACAGGGACTTCTAATACTTTTCTCCTTGCCCTTCCATGTTTTTGCCCTTCCATGACTCTACATGAAAGTTTGTTATTCTTGGTCTGAATTCCCTCTCCAGGTTGTTCTTCTTTCCTCCACAGAATTCTACTCATTCATCAAGGCTTTTCTTCTCTGAAAAAATGTGTCAAATAACCCATAGTCACAAGACGCACACAGGTGAAATAAATCTGTTGCCCCTGAACTCTGCCTTCAGCTATTGTACCTTGTCTGAGATGGTTAGAGTTCGTTATGGTCGCTCCTGAGGGTAAGGAATTTTGCCTTAGCTTTCTGGTCCTAGCCCTGAGTTAGTGTGCCTACAATTCTTTTGGTTCGTCCTAGGAGACCTCACTGTAAACGTTTTATGATTTGCTAATGTAGTCCCGATCACCAGGGCTGTGGTGTTAAACATACATGAGCTTTGGATCAAATTAAGGCTCATTTCCAAGTCTTGTGCTGTCTTCTTCATTATTGATTCTTCCTGAGGTTAGCCATCAACTGACTTCTGTTCCTTTGAGCTAATTATTCTCTGGCTTTCATGCGCAAACCAGCTCTGCCACCAGTGGCTTCATTGGTCAGTGTTCTGGGAGAGAAAATTCAGAGGGTATCTGACTAAACTTGGTGATTGGGTAAACTAACTGACCCATCAATTCAGTCAAAAGGAGTGGAAATCAAACTCATTGTTTTTCTTGAAGGTCATTTGGGAAGGACACGTGATCCCAAGCTGCACTGACCCACCTTAGCAAGCACTCACCTTTTCAACACAGCAATCTCGTTCTCCAGGCTGCTGTCCCGGAAGGCAGGTGACTTCTTGATGCACTTCAGAGCAAAGAGCTTCCCGGTCACCCTCTGTTTCACCAGGAACACTTCTGAAAAAGCTCCTCTGAGGGGAAGATGTCAACACATGAAACTTAGTTCTAGCTGTCTAGAGAACACTCTGGTGGCAAAATGAAAGTATAGATAAAGGAGAGTGGAAGATAATACATTTCTATTGTCACACGAGTTGTATTGATGACAGAGCCTATAAGACATGCCAGCACGTTCTCTCCTTCAGAGATCATATAGGATGGAAAAGACCTTGCCATGGACCAAGAGACCATGCAGATGCTTTTCCTGCTTCTATAATTTGGAAATAACTTCCAGAGACTCTGCATCAGCCGTGGAGAATTGTCATTTACCCCCTTCCAATGTGGCACAGTATGGCCCACTGATGGGACCCATGGCTCTAGATCTGGAGATCAGACTCAGATCCAACAGGACCAGAAGAGAAAAGTCTCCGGTATCAGTTTTAAGTTTGTTTTTTATTTAAACACAGGGACTTACCATGTTGCTCAGGTTAGCTTTGAACCCCTGGAATCAAACAATCCTCCTGCCTCAGCCTCCAAACTAGCTAGACTACTGATGTGCCATCATCACCTCGCTGATAAACAACCCAAACAATTTTCAGAGCACAAGAGGAGCTGACCATCCTCTCACTCATTCTGGTAGCCTTTGCAAGGGTGAAAGAATCCAGCAGCTTTCGGGGTAGGTTTTCTGCGACAGAATAGATGGAACCGAATGGGAAAACAGGGCAAGATCTCAAATGATAGGATTCTTAGTTTTCAGGTGTCTGTCTGAGACCAAGCCATCAAAACAGCAGGTAAGTTAGGGTTGGATGCTGGAACCTGATTGCCCATATCAGAAGTTCTGTTTTCTAGGTAACAATTTACTTGTATATACCTAGTTTTTCCATCTAAACCTGGGAATAGCAATAGTATTCACAGGTTGTTTTATTTTTTAGGAGATTAAATGAGTTGACATTTGTCAACTGCTACAGAAGAGTGGTTTTTTTGCCATCTATTTAAACCATTTATGTTATTTATGGCTATTAGCATTATTGAATAGCACTACAGAGAATACCTGGTTATACAAGAGGAAACAGAAGTGAAAGGAGAAGCCGCTGAGCCATCCCCTCCTCTACCATCTGTGCACTCTAGAAGGCTGATGCCGTCACACTTTTATATTTAAAAAAAAAAATCTGCATTAGAAAATACTTGGCGTTTCCTGTTTCCCCAGCTGTGTACTTGGAACTGAGCTAATCAGCTTCAGTGCTGGCTCCATTCATCCACTCATCCCTTCAACCAGCATTAATTTGAATGCCTCCCCTAGTCTTAGACCTTGGAGATGCACAGGTGAGTAAGAGTTTCTGTTCTGAAGAAGTTGTGGATTAGTGAGGGGTGAAGAAAGGAAACATTAGTATTGGATTTGGAAAAGGCGACCAGGCATTTTAATGAATGCTTGCTGAACTGGCAGAACCTCTCTGTGTCAGCCAGTGGGATGAGTGTTCACCTAGCCTGATCTCTGGGGTGCAGACACCATACAGATAAGAACAGATATGTAAAATGGACGCTTTAATATAATCTCCACTGGGGCAGTTGTTGGGTAAGTTGTATACTGCATTAATTTCAACAGATGACATTCCTTGAAGTTGGTGTACATGTTCATCCTATAAGTATGACCTTAACGGCAGACAGAATGCTAGAGAAAAGGGAAACTTTGTGCTAATTTGTACAAAGAGATGATTTGGGATAGTTTAGGAACACATAACAGGTGATGCCTTGGCTTAGAATACAGTAATTTTAGCTCTAAGGGGTAAATGAGATGGAAATATTTCAGGTTAGTTGGGAGTTGGGAGAAAGTGTGAGAAAAGGGCATTGATCAGCAGGTAGGGTGGCATGGTCAGGGATGGGGTAGTGCAGCACTGTGTGGGAAGTTGTGAGATAAAAATGTGTATGGAAACTGGGTCTGAAGCCTGGTTACATATTGGAAAGTGCTAAATAAATACTGGCTTAAGGAGTGACTGGATGGATGGGAATTTCAGATAAAAATTAGTGATGCCTTCCTTCCCTCCCTCCCTCCCTCCCTCCCTCCCTCCCTCCCTCCCTCCCTCCCTCCCTCCCTTCCTTCCTCCCTTCCTTCCTTCCTTCCTTCCTTCCTTCCTTCCTTCCTTCCTTCCTTCCTTCCTTCCTTCCTTCCTTCCTTGTCAGGGCCTCAGTATGTAGTCCAGGAATTTGCAATCCTCCTGCTTCAGCCTCCTATATGCTGAGATTAAAGTACTGACCATCATACTAGTTACTCATTTTCTTGACTGTGATAATGATAGTTTGTGGTTAACGTTTAAAATGCCTTTACTGTAGACTTTTTTTTTGGGGGGGGTCCGGTCGTGGGGCCTGAACTCTGGGTCTGGGCGCTGTCCCTCAGCTCTTCAGCTCAAGGCTAGCACTCTACCACTTGAGCCACAGCGCCACTTCCGGCTTTTTTCTTTTTGCTTATGTGGTGCTGAGGAATCGAATCCAGGGCCTCAGGCATGCAAGGCAAGCGCTCTACCATTGAGCCACCTTCCCAGCCCTGTAGACTTTTTTTTTTAATGAGGGATTCACGATGTTTGTAAATTGTTCATAAATAGTTCAGCAAGGAATGGTGTGTGTGTGTGTGTAAAACAGATAGACTTGTCTCTAGGAATCCATGGGCAAATGGGATCCAAGATTCCTCTGGGTATCAAAATTGGTGAGGCCTTAAGCTCCTTAGATAAAACGGTGCGATTTTGGTCTATAACCTGCAGACCTCCTGCTGCATCCTTTAAGTCATTTCCAGATCACTTATTATTCCTGATAAGTCAGTTGTGGTCATATGTTTAGAGTATAAGGACAAGAAACAATCTTCACATGCTCAGTACAGATGCAATGTCCCCCAGTGATTTTGAGTCTCTGCTGCTTGACTCTGCGGCAGTGTGGTAAAGCATTAGCAATGGTTAGAGACAAGTGATGGGTGAATTGGGTTCATTGAACTATTATTTTACCTTTTTCCTTGTGTTTGAACCTTCCCATAGTCAACAGCTAGAGCGATAAGCTCCCAGCGGCTCTGATGTTCCTCTCAGTTCAGTTGCCTCTCTGAGATCCGCAAGGCTATGTAAGCCTCCTAGCTGGCCTCCAGTTTAGCAGTCAGTGTCAACCTGAGTTTCCTTCTCCCCACTTCTCTTGTTAGGAATGCTTACCAAATCATTTCTGATTCACTCATGAGCCTTGTCTCTCTCCTGCCAAAAGTCCTCTCTCTAGCCACCCCCACGTTGGCAAAAGCCCTTGATGGAATGCCAGTGCTCTGATGACCAGCACTCCTCCTGTGCTTCTCCCGCACCTACAGAGCTCCAGAACCTGCCTGTGCTGGGAGGGGCCTGAGGTCTCCTCTCAGGCACACCTGGAGCTTTTCCATCTGCGGCAAGACTGTAGGCATCTGTCATTGGTGAGGTTCCTGCCCCCTGGCCAGAGCAGAGGGGAGCAATCCTTAGCCAGGACTGACAAGAGGGAGCACATGCTGGAACGGACAGCCTACTGTCCACTTCTCACTGCCCAAGTACAATTAGCCCCGACTAATTAGCCTTGCCAGCTGAGGCTCTGGTGGGAGGGAGGCCAGGAGCTATTGCTGGCCTGCGTCATAGACTGCAGCCTCCTGGGGAAGAGGCAGGACTAAGTGGAGAGTCTGCTCCAGACAGGCTGTCTCGGGTCTGCCAGCCGTGTAATCAGTGCTAAGGGACCGCAGGCTGGTGAGAGTTGGGTCCATAGCACAAAGCACTGAAATATGGAGAAGAGGAGGCATGGTGGGTAGAGCCGATTAGGGTGTAGCTCACTAGTGTGCTGGGCCCCAGAAATCCCTTTTCTTCCACTGATAGCAGATAAGCAGACATTGAGTTTGGGGGCGGGAAGTCAAGGAAGCCCAGGAAAGTTCTAGCATCGCCGAATGTCTGGGTGCACACCCTGATTCCTCTCTTCTGAAGCCAGGGTAAGAATCTGTTAAGTTGTCACAGATATGAAAGTATGGTGGGTTCTAGTAGAGGTGGCTCAGAAATGACCTAGAACCTGGAGGAAGGGGCCTGGTATTCCCTGAGGGCTCCAGCACATTAAATCATCCCCAGTTTTACCCAAGGTTACTTTCTCCCCAACTCCACTCCCCGCCCCCCAGACCATAATATTTTCCCGCAGGTTCCTTAGATTGGTCAAGAGTAAGTCTCAACCGTCTCAGCCCACCCACTTCATTAGTCACCGCCGGCTTAGGCTCACAGCGACTCTTCAACCCCATTACAGCAGCAGGCAGCCACGTTGTCCAGGTCTCCCAGGCCCAGGACTTACGATCCAAGCACTTCCATGAAGATGAACGTTTTCCGGATGTTGGTGGTCTGTTTCTTCCAGGAACTGCAATCATCCTCTTCCTCCTTTCGCCCCATCTCCTCCAGTGTTGAAGTTTCCGGGGACGCTTTGTTCAGGCGAGCGATGGAGGAGGAAGAGGAGGACAGGTATGATTATAACTTTCTCAGAGAAGACGAAAACAGGTTGCAAAAGAAACTAAAATACATCCTTTATATAATGACCAGAAGGAAGAAGTAAGAGAAAAACCAGATGATCGATAAAAAAAAATGTATTTACTTATTTATTTGTTCATTTGTTTTTGGTGGTATTGAGGTTTGATCTCAAGACCCTGCTCTTGGTAGGCAGGCATTCTACCACTTGAGCCATTCCCCTAAACCTCTGCTTTTGTTATTTTTCGAGTAGGGTCTTACTTTTTGCTGGGGGGTGGAAGTGGATGGATAAAAAAAAAATCTTCCTATTTATGCTTCTTGCAAAGCTGGGATGACAGGTGCATACCATTACACTCAGCTTTTTATTGGTTGAGATGAGGATCTGGTGAAACTTTTCACCCTGGCTAACCTGGAACCTCATTCCTCCCCATCTCTGCCTCTCAAGTAGCTAAAACGACAGTAATGAGTCACATAACAGACGTGTTGAATGTTTGCTATGTGCACACCATGCTTTCTTTATGCTCAAAGAGTTTAGAATCCAGTGATAGGAACTGACTTCATCATCTATGCCAGGGTGAACCTGTTAGTGGGTTCACATGGAAATACTTTGAGGTGAAGGGAGCTGAGCTGAGGCACTTCCCAAGTTACTCAAATGATCTCCAGCTGTTTATTCAGCCACCAAAACCAGCCCGGCTCCTTTTCCCCATCATAGCCCTGTAAACACCTCTGCCATTCTTACTCCTACTTGTTATGGCTGTAATGAACCAACAGTCCATTTTCTCTGATATTCCCACAACTATTAGCTCAGTGTTGGGCAAATACTTAAACCTGAATTGCATGTATCCAAACTCTGCATTAGAGAGAGATGTTCTTCGACCCTGAACATACTTACTAAGCACCTATGATGTGCCAGGCTCTGGATATGTAATTAGGGACTACATAGATGATGGCTCAGCCTTCCTGGGCCATCAAACCCACATGGGCATGGTTGCAGAGTGTATGGGGAGATCTGGGCTGTATATCAGAGGTAAACAAGGGCTGTCTTCACATAAAGTCAGAGAAGGCTTCCAGAGAAGGTTCTGTTGAGCATGAGACTGGAAGTTTGTGAAAGAAACAACCCAGCATAGTACACGAAGCCAGGGCCTGAATGAAGGAAGAGCGTGGAGTAGTTCAGACACAGAGGTGCAGTGTGGCCGGAGCAGTCAGAACCGTGCATGGTGTGCGTGTGGTGAACGGGCGAGGAGAGGCTGGCAATGCCAACCACCTAAGACTCTGTGAGAGATCTGGGTTTTCTTCTGAGACAGGAAGACGTGGAGGATATGTTGCGGGGGAGTTGAATTGGACCGCCCATGTTTGAAAGTGCATATTGTGACTGATCTATGGAGGAGAGGTGGAGGCCCAAGAGTTGCTGCATGGAGAATGCACAGAGGGTGGAAGTCTAAAGGAGAGGTGCTAGAGGCCCAGCCACGGAGGTGCTGGAGGGGAAGATGGGTGGGTCTGGGTATACTCTGGGAGTCTAGTCATCCATGGCACTGTATGGGGCGGAGTGGAAGGTTGGGATGATTTCCATGTGTCTGGCGTGAGTGTCTGTGATGAGAGGTCATTATTAAAGTCAAGGATACTAGAGAGAAACGTGCTTTTCGATGGGCTGGGTGGAGGGAATTTCTGTCCCTTTGGGTACTCTGCTCTAGCTTCCAGATATGACAGCAGTGTCTGCTAACACCCTCTCCTCCATACTCCTTGGGCCTGAGCCAGTGGGTCATGCCTGTAATGCTAGCTCCTCAGGTGGCTGAGATCTGAAGATGGTAGTTCAAAGCCAGCTTAGCCAAAAAAAAAAGTCTGTGAGACTCATCTGCACTTAAGCAGAAAATGCTGACAATGGAGCTGTGACTTAAGTGGTAGAGTACCAGCCTTGAGTGAAAAAGCCCAGGGAGAGTGTCTAGGCCCAAGTTTAAGTCCCAGTATGACACCACCCCACCCCCATCCAATGAAGGAAAACATGTCTAGTGGCTGCTCTTTTAGGCAATACCCTCCATCCCCACTTTTTAAAGCTGCCCATAGACTCCCAGAGGCCTTTGCCTGGTCTCAGAAGATAAAGAAAGCATATGCTCTCACAATTTAGCATCACGTGAAGAGCTTGGCTTTAGGGGTTCATGTGAGTTCGAATCCTCCCTCTGCTGGTTCCTGGTTATTCACTTTTTGGAATCTGGCTGGTAGTTTGCTCTGGAGAAGATGAACTGTTGGAGTAGGGAAGGTAGTTTTAGCCAGATGCAGTTCTGCAGATTCTGAGCTCCACATCTAGATGCTTCCATGCAGGTGCTCCATCCAGCATGCAAAGCACATGCGCTCCCACCCTACCGGCCAATAGAAAGGGGAGATTTCCCTGTGAACGTGTCCAACTACCACTTATCATGATGCCAGTCTCCAGGGATAGATGTGCTGCAGCTGGGAAGTCTTGAATGCAGGAATGGAGGCAAAGGGTTAGCTATTGAGGAGAGTGGGGATGGACGGAGTTGGGTTTGTGCGTCTCCTTCATTCTCTCCTCTACAGAACAGGACTGGTTGCCATTCTCGACAATCAAGAGCCTGCCCAGCCCAGAGGACTTTAGCCATGCTCCCTACTCCCCCTTGTAGAGCTTGGAGGAGGGTGGGGGGCATGGCCTGCTCTCCTGGAGGTTCCACCACCTCATTAACAGATCAGAACTCACTGTTCCTTCTTAAATAGCTTTAAAAAAATAACATAGTATTCTTAGCCCAGGCGAGGCCATAGAAAACATCTTTCCCGCCCACCTCTCCTCCCATACACTGAATCCTAACAATTTAGTTTCATCAGCAGTGCGCTGTGAAAGGCTCAGAGGCCCAGATCTAAAACCCCACACCTTCCAGGGACTCTTTATTCCCACTTGTCCTAGACCTCTTTCCTTAAGTCCTCCCGCCCCCATCTCTCCCCCTCCCCTCCACCTCCGACCCCCTCCCCCATGGCTCAGGGATGGGCAGGTGTGCCAGCTCAGAAACGGATGTGGGGCATGCTCCCTGGTGGTATCCTGCTGCTTTCTCTTACAGTCCCTCCCCATCCGCAAACCCCTCAGCTTCCGCAGGGTCCTTTCAGAGGAAAAGAAAAACAAATTCTGAGAAGTTCCCAGCTCCAGTATTGCTCTCATCTGCTTCCAAAGTGCTCCCCGCCTCCCTCTATTTCCAGTAACAACTTCCCTTGGGTTTCAGAGCACCGGAGCAAGCAGCCACCACTAAAGAATTCTCTGAGATCTAGGACTGACTTGATGAGGATGGATCTGGAGACACCATATAGATAGTGCCATTCATGACTTGTTCAGGCCTCTCCTTCCTCAACAGAGCAAGACTCACAGGGAAATTCTGCAAAGAATGGCAAAGGAAATGGCCTTATTTGTGGGACCATCTTTGAGTAGTCAAGGCAACAATCTTTCATCCGATCAGCATTTATTAAATACCTCTTGTAAATCCAATGAATTCAGTACAGACTTTTCTGTGATATATAAGCCAGGCTCTGAAAGTGTTTTCAATCAGTCAAGGTAGAAAATCCAAATATAAGTATGGAAAAAGAGGTAAACACCCGAGATAAAACTACAAGCAATCCACATGAAGGACAGGGACCATGTGCTACTCAGCTCTGAATCCCTACTGCCTGTTCCTTGCTTGGAACACACTAGAGGTCCACCGAGTGAGCTGGAGAGCAGGCTGGCTGGGGACAGTTTTGCAAGAGAGCTGGACTGAAGATGGGAATGGAAAGTTGGATGCAGACATTTTGAAAACAGTGCCCTGGAGAAGAACCTGGAGCAGAAGAACGGATCCCTGGTGCCAATGTGGCTGCTCCCTCCCAGACCCTTGGTGTAAGGCTCTGTCTGTGGCATAGCATCAGGAGGGAGGATGGCTACAGAAGGCAAAGTTGACCTCCTGGCTTCCCTCCATTGCTATCCTACCAAGAATAGACTATGTGGGACCTAAGGTGGGGTCTGGCTTCAGCTCTTGGTCAGCAGAACTTCCGTGGGACATCCCTGCCTGACTATTCTAAGTCTGGCTACTCCCTCCTGAGACCCACCATTCCTCTCTTCTGTAATGCACTTGGCCAACTGAGTTCACTCTGGTGGAGGGTAATTTCTAGTGACATTCTTACTTGACAATAACTCTCATGGATGGAGATTCTGTCTTGTCATTTTTAGATCATCTTGTTAGCCTTTTGAGGGGTGGAGACGATGGGGTTGGGGGGGTGGTGATTCTTCCTCAAGATTCTTCTGTATACAGCCCTTTCTGTGCTTCTAGAGGCAGAATTTCTGGTCCTTGGAGGCAGCCAGCCTGGCTACTGATGAGGTGCTGATGAGAGATGCTTGTGCCGAGAGCCCAAGAAGCAGGCAGCCCCCACATGCCTGTACCCTCACCTCCTTCCCAGGCTCCATTTGGTCCAAGGGCAGCTGTGGCCCCAGACTGAGGAATGTGAACCCCATGTGGCTAGCACACAGCCTTCAAATCTCAGGTTGCCTCATCACCTCACGTTTCCTGGACCCTCTTACCCAGAACTCCATTCCTGTCCCCCTTGCTCCACATGTTCTCTTCTAGAAGTTTCCAATTTTTGAGTCACAGCCACTGAGGACTCTGTTCTGAGGTGCATATTAGAGGAGTCATCACTACCCTCCTAGGAAGATATCCCAGAGTCTAATCTAATATTAATGCACAATGTGGGAAGACCAGTGGCGTTGCTAAACTGGGCCTGAACCAATCAGAGGAGCTGAGAGCAGGCAATCTTCGAGTCGCATCTCTGCAGTCCCTAAATCTCAGCTCATCTCTTCCCATGGGTGCTCCCACATTTTTTTTTTTTTGGCTCTCTCAGTTGAAGTCACTGAGCAGGGAGATGTGACTCATGCTGGGGCATAGGGAGCTAGCTTTGTGGACTTCTAGAAGGCTGGTTCTTTATACTCTCCCATGTTCCTTGGGAGTATGACTCCGTCCAGCCTGCGGGCTCTGGAAGGGAGGTTATCAGCTGGATCATCTTTAATAAGACTGTGCGCTCTGCCTCCCAGCGGGGGCACACAAAGCCATATAAATATATATGCTGTTGGGTTATAAAGGGATAAAAGGCTAAAGCCAGGAAATTTCCTTGCGCAGGCTATGTAATTTTCTAAACCCTGGCCCATCTTGGATTTTTGTTTCATCTTTCAGACTGAGAAGTACATTAGGAAAAAGGCCAAGCTCTGGCTCCAGTCTTGGCTTGGACCCCAGAAGTTGTACAGCCCCAGGGAGATCACTATGCATCCTCTCCACCTTTCCATCTGTGTTCCTTGGTAAAAAGGAGGTTGATCCAGAAGTTCTCTGGAAGTTTGCATTTGACTATTAGTCCCAGGAGACTCACTGGGAATAAAGTAGATGGCTGTCTCCTTGGCCTCCTTCTCACAGCCCCACATTTACATTGGCTTCGGAAAGGCTCTGAGAACTACTGAAGACTCTGGCTTAATGTGATTTAACCTGGCAGGTCCCAAATTTCATGGACCATGATATTTTTCCTATCGTAATAATGCCCATTAGCAGCCAAGGATTTGGGGTTGCTTAAAGTGTATGTTGGAAAATACAATCGAGGCCATTTCTAATGCTTTGTATTTCTTCTCCTAGTTTTTTTTTTTTGAGGAATGTATGGAATTTCCAGTAGTTCTCTATTACCAGTTACAGTTCTGCCCTCTTTGTGGTGTCATTGGCACATAAATGGGTCTGTACACCTGTCAGAACTCATTTCAGGCAGCTCATCAGCCAACCAGAATCAAAGTCCTGGACCCAAAAGGCTCCTGGAGATGTCTGCTGGAGAGAAACCCCCGGGGACGGTTCTGTCTATTCCCCAACACCTCTTGCCAGTTCTGCACGTCAGTTTCTGTTCACAAAAATCTCCGAGGAAGGCTTTTCTAGTGCGCCTGTGGTTTATTTTAGATGCAAAACCACATTTCTACATTCAAGTTTAACCAAATCATTCCTGCTGCTGCAACAAGCCAGAATTCAGGTACTGTTTAAGGATTATCATGTGCTTCCCACGGAGATGAAGAGATTCTCGCAGCTTCTCTGATGGATGAGAGGAAGATGGATGTGCAGGAGACAATGGAGGGGCAGCAAGTGGGCCACTTATTCTTAACCACGTCAGACTATAGTTTCCTCATCTGCCAGATGGGGATAATGCTGCCTACTCTATTTCCCTTTGACCTCTGAGGCATGGAAAGATGAGAAATCAGTTCAGTAGCCCCACATTATGGGCACATGAACTAAACACCAAGCACTGGAGAAAGAACAAGGGAAGAAGATGATGATTGATTTAGTGAGTTATTTCTATGTTGGGGATTGAGCCCAGCACCTTGTGCTTGCTCAGCAAGTGCTCTGCTACTTGAACCCTATCTTCATCCTTTTTATTTAAGGGCCATGCTGACTTTGCCTGGGCTAACCTTGAACTCTTCATCCTCCTCCCAAGTAGCTGAGATTACAGGCATGTGCCACATGATAATGATTTAAACAGGAGCACATATGTCAGGAGAGATGAATCTATGGTTCCTCAGCCCTAGCTCCCTCTCCCACCTCTCCCTGTATGAGCATTTCATCCCACTGAGATTCTAATGTCTTGAAGAGATGTTATTTCCATACACATGGCCCCGAATGCAAGCCCATCGCTTCCTCCCATCTTCAACTGAGTTGTCAGGGACTGACTCTCACAAACACAAGAGACGATGCCTGTGTTGGGCTTCTCTGGGCCATGTACCGGTCTCCATGGGGCTACTTTTCTAAGGAGTTGTTAGGGGCAACACTGTCAGCCACTTCTGTTAGGCCCAATGATCACACAAAGGCTGGCTCCTCTGACCAGGTATGGGGCGCCTTACTATTAACCACCTAAGCCTGGCGCTTGGGCGGAGCTGAGGGGGAGAGCAAGGATCTGCACTGAGTAAGGCAATGCAGAGGATTCAGAGGAGAAGACAGCCAGGCCAGATTGGGACATGGCACAGGGCAGCTCAGTTACCAGCCTGCCTTCCTGTGACACTCAGCAAACCCAGTTGTGGTTCAGCTCCCTCACAGCGCCCCCCCCCACCCCCCCACGGCTTGTTTTCTGGCCTGCAGTTGCTCAGCTCCAGCACCTTGTTCTTGATCAGGGCTGCGCCTGTCGCCTGCAGTTGTAGCACTAGGCACGCAGCCGGTCTGCAGCCTCAGCCATTCGCTCCTCCTCTCATTCATACTGCAGCTCATTCACTCGCCCCGGCTCTGGCAGGCTGCGGCTGGGCTCTGTCACTGGCACACAATTTATTTCTGGCCTGGATGTGTGTATGCATGGGGGGAGAGGGAGCAACGGAGGCGTTCTCCTTTTAGATGTGAATGCTTGTGTAAAGAATCCAGCCTGACTTGTCCCTAGGCCCGATAGTCAACGTGGCTGGTGGACTGGGTACCACGTGGCACACGGGGCTGGGTGCTTGGTATGTGTGGACCTATTTAATCCTTCATTGCCACCTTCCACAGCAACAGTCTTTAAATCACTGAGAGATACTGATGGTTAGAATGCTCAGGAAGAAATCAAACTGATAGTGGTAGGCTGGGAGCCCCAGACCTCTAATAGCCAGTCGCCATATCACCTAACCTGTTGCCTCTTTGCTGGAAGAAATTACTAGGAAGCAAGCTGCTCATTTCCACCATTCACACACACACACACACCACATTGGATGATCTGGGAAAAGGCTTTGTCTTGGCAGCACTCGAGTATCTCAGGATTGAGACCAGGACACCATGCATGTCTATTGCCCACGATTCTCGTGGCTCCACTTAACCTTTGACTCTGTTTTCAGACTGTCCAAAAATTTCCCCCATCTAGCACCAACACAAGAAACGTGCGCATGCACATGCTCACACTCACACACCATAGCTGTCCATATCATGCTAGAAAGGCCACTGCATTTATAAGACCAGACCACCATCAAACAGATAGCACCGGTCTATGTACAGCTTTGTAAGTCCAGGCAAACCACTTAACCACTTCGAGCTTCAGTAGTCCCATCTCTTCTAAGGGGGGGAGGGGGGACATTGTACATGCCCCTCCACGTGGTAGACTGTTTCCCCCAAAGGATAAATTACAAGCACACCTAGGAAGTGTGGTCCCATGCAGGGATTACTAAGCACTCTGTGTCATGGCCTGTTTCAGAGATGGGGCTCCTCTGTGGCCCTGCTTCAGCTTGGTCAGTGAGAATAGGGAGCCAGTTTTGTCTCTGGCCTCCGATCTGGAAATGGCATACAGGACCTGCTTGACTCTCTCGACTCTCCTCAACAATTTTCCTCATGATCAATCAATGGTTCTGGCTCCAGAGCAAGAGGCTGGCTGGACTTGCACCTGCAGCCACCTCAGCGGCGCGAGCATCAGGGTTAATGCTTGTGCGTCAAAGTTACGTTGGAGAGAAGGGGCAGCTGGGGGTGGGGGTGGAGGTGGTCAATCCAGACCTCCAGTTCCCATCTTTACCAGAGAACTGAACTGGGAAAGTTCCAGGACTCCAGGGAGGAGGCTGGCTGCACCCCTGGGGAAGGGGGAGACGCTGTCTTGTGACTGACAGCAATGGCATGCCTGTGCCTGTGTTCTGCATCTTAATTGTAGCTGCCAGCCAGGGCTAGGGAGCCTGGAGCCTGGATGGATGGACCTGCATCCTGCCCTGCCAGGAGGGCCTGGGGCCGGTCCTCCTCCCCGAGCTATGCGGAGCCACAGGCTGTTTACATGCATCATTTAGCCCACCCATTCTCTCCGACCCTTCCAGCGAGGTGGGCAGAGCGGGCATCTTCCCACTTGGCAGGTGGGGTCACAGATGAAGGATGAGCAGGAGGCGGAAGGGCAAGAGAGCTGGAGGTCCTGACACCCCAGTAGAGGGACAGGGATCCCCGGAACACAGAGCCAGGAGCATAGCTGGATGCATTGTCCCCTCTCCTCCTCAGGAACCTCCAAAGGTTCCTGCAGCCGCAGCCGGGAGAAGTGGCTGGATGGCTCCCCAGGGAGGTCCCACCCTGGCCCCCATTCACACTTACTATCCAGGGCAGCTCTAACTTACCCTTGACACCACAAGAGTCGGTGAAAAATGACTGGGGCTCAAGTCGCTTACCAAAGTGGCCTTTAAAATCCACTCTCCATGCTCTGCGGGTCCCCCCGACTAAGGCGAGTTAGCCTTCCACCCCAAGCCCCCGACCTCCCCCATCCCCCAAAAGAAGAAGCAGGCTCATCTTACCCAGGGACTCGGAAGAATTGTGCTCCGGGAACTCTCCTCGCCTGCTCCTACAGGTCTGTGAGGATTAGCAGCTCCAGTGCTTTAACAATAAACCCAATTAAAGGGGAGGAATGCAGGGGTTTTCTTTCCCAGGACCGTAACCAGGCAGCCTTAAAGGGGAGTAAAAGTAGCTAGGGTGGCTTGCCTCTCTTCTTCCTCTCTTCTGCTGTATTTTCCCTCAGATTCAAGGAGCTGTATCAGAAAAGTGCTTGTTTGAAGGAGCCCTTTTATGCCCGAGGGGTGTGTGAGTGTGTGTGTGTAATTGTGTTTGCATTCATGTGAGGGATGGAAAGAAAGGAAGAATTAAAAAAAAAAACCCATCGGTTATTGGATAATAACAGAGAATCAGAGGCTTTCTAGGACTGCCTGCCTCAGTTCCCTTGTTGAAAACACTCCCTCCAGCAATGAGATGAGGCAATGGCTGACCGAAGTCCCTTCATCATGCACCTGCCTTGTTCAGAAAGAAGAGGAAAGCCCTTGGATGACCACAGAAAGCTCCTAGGTTGACAGGTCTTATCCTATATCTCTGAACATCTCCTATCTCTCACAAGCATAGCATTATGATGCCCCCACCCCCACCTCTTCAGGAAACTCCATGACCCCCTCAGTTTTCTTATCCCCACCCCCCTACCCTGCTCATTGACTAGGACAAAACTGCCCCTTTGCTTCTCTTGGGCCAGCTGCCTCTTGAGCGCAGGTTTTTAAAGCCTGGGACCTCTGCCCTCCTGTTCTCCCTTTCTCTGATATCCTCAGAATCATCCATGTACAGCGTTTATAGTCAACTTCAAGAGAAACTCCCCAAACCAACACCCCCATCTGGATGGTCACCCCCAAATCCCAACATCCAAGTGTTCAGTTTCATCACCAAGCAATCTTGAACATGTTCTAGGCAACTTCAAATGTGCTCTCCTGCTGGGGTTGTCCAGCTAGATTTAGGGGCCTTTACCCACCCCCTCCATCAGAAACCCCAGCCTTTTTGTCTGTGATGATGTCTCCTTTATTATTTCCACATGCAATCAGCTCTTACACACTTTTTTTTTTTTTTGCCAGTTCTGGGGTTGGAACTCTGGGCCTGGGCACTGTCCCTGAGCTCCTTTTGCTCAAGGCCAATAGTCTACCACTTGAGCCACAGCAAGCTTTTTCTGTGTATGTGGTACTGAGGAATGGGTCCCAGGGCTTCATGCGTGTAAGACAAGTACTCTACCAGTGAGCCACCTTCCCAGCCCCTCTTACACACTTTTTTGAATTAACTTTTAAATGATGACTTTTCTATCATCTTATGTTTCAATAAGAACCTTAATTAAAAAGTGCCACATTGATGTCAGGTGCTGAGGTGGCTCATGCCTAAAATCCTAGCTAATTAGGAGGCTGAGATCTGAGGACCATGGTTTAAAGACAGCCCAAGAAAAGAAGTCTGTGAGATTCTCATCTCCAATTAACCAGCAAAAAAGCTAGAAGTGGAGGTATGGCTCAAGTGGTAGAACACCAGCCTTGATCAGGAAAAGCCAAGCAAGAGTATGAGGCTCTGGGTGCAAGTCCCAGTACTGACACAGAATAATAATTAAAACATACACTGAGATATTTATCCCATTGCACTTCCCATCTGACCCTAGCCCCTGATCTTGCCCTCGATAGTTCCTTGTGAATCTCTATGGTGTTTCTTTTTTCTTTTTTTTTTTTTTGGGGGGTCCGGTCATGGGGCCTGAACTCTGGGCCTGGGCGCTGTCCCTCAGCTCTTCAGCTCAAGGCTAGCACTCTACCACTTGAGCCACAGAGCCACTTCCAGCTTTTTTCTTTTTGCTTATGTGGTGCTGGGGAATCGAACCCAGGGCCTCATGTATGCAAGGCAAGCGCTCTACCACTGAGCCACCTTCCCAGCCCCTCTATGGTGTTTCTTTATATGGATACAAACAAATGAGGGTCCATGCATTTCTCCCTTTTATACAAAGGATCTCTTTTTCATATCCAGGTTGTCCTGAACGAGGCTCTGCAGTAGGATCGCTAAATGTGGCTCTCGGGAAAACTGCTCGTGTGGACTTCTAAGTCTTTTGTGACTGGATGGATGGCTTTGGGTAAGTGACTTTTCTCTGCCTCAGTTTTTCTATCTGTAACATGGGGCAATTACTGCATTTCTTTCATTCACTAGTAAGGTGAAGGAGACAGAAAGCAAGTGGCTTACAGCACTCACTGCTCACGGTAAGAACTCAGTGCCAATTAGCAATGGTGGTATCTCTCTGCTATGGTCTGAACCTTTACCGCCCCACCCAGACTCGTGTTGAAATGGAATCCCCAATGTGATGGTAGAAACAGGTTCTGGTGCTTGAGAAGTGATCGGGTAATGATGGCGGCTCCCTCATGGACAGGATTAGTGTCCAGGAAGCTGCTCTGCTGTGTCCTTCATGTGCAAACATGTCTGTGACCCAGAAAATGGGTCTCGGTCAGCCCTGAACCTCCCGGTACGTTGGTCTTAGACTGCCCAGCCTCTAGAACTGGGAGAAGGATATTTTAGTTGTTAAGACATTCAGTTTATGGTATTTTGTCATGGTCAGCTCAAACAGACTAAACCACTTTCCAATCTACCTTTTATTCTATTGTTGTTGTTTTGCTAGCATTCTATTACTTCCGTCACAGCTTCACTTCCAGGTTTTTAGTGATTAATTGGAGATAAAAGTCTCATGAATATCCTATCCAGGCTGGCTTCAAACTATGATCCTCAAATCTCAGTCTCCTAAAGTGTGAGCCCTGGCACCCAGTTTGTACCTTTTATTCTTTCCAGACTCATCTCAATAAAAGATACGGGTGCTGGTAACTCACACATGTAAGGTAAAGCAATAGACTTGAGCAAAAAAGCTAAAAGAGAACACATAGGCCCTGAGTTCATGCCCCAGTACTGGTGCGCGCGCATGCACACACACAGACACACAGACACACAGACACACACACACACACACACGGGGGAGGGGGAAAGAGAAGAGAGAAAGAAGAGAGAGGAGAGAGAAGGGAGAAAGGAGAGAGAAAAAAGAGAAAGAGAGAGAGAAAGACATTGCTTCTACCTCAAAAAATTACCTACAGAACCAAACCCAAACCCCTCAGCCAATCACAGAAGCCCTCCTCCCCCACAGTGTGTCTTTCTACCCATCTGACACTCCATTGGGTCTGTTTGAGATGCTGATGTCCAATGTGTCACTCACTGACTTCACTCATCCTAATTTATCCATATGGAATGCTCTTTCTTGTCTCTTAGATGCTTAGGTTTTAAAAATCTACGTATAATGCCACCTCATCCAGGAAGTTAGTACTCTACTCCCTCCCCCACACCCAACCATTCCTCCCTTCCTCTGCGCTGGGCTACAAACCCTTTGTGTATAATTCTCCTTTTATCTTGGAGTTAGTTTCTTCCACTTCTATTGCCCCATCCCCTCTCCTGGGTTGAGTCGAACATTTTTTTTTCAGAGTAGGAATTTGGGCTGGATTTCCTGCCCTGCTCTCCTTCCTCCAGGGTCCTTCAGCACTGGTTCTGAGTACTCATTGGACCTGATAGGTTTGTCAGCTCTGAGCAGAGTCATCTTTGGGAGTTATTGTAAGTAAATGAGAAATGATTTGCAAGTGATCGGTACACACAGGAAGTCTGCAATAAATGCTGATTCTTATTAATATGGTAAGATTAATAGCATAATAGTTATTGGTCTACAGTCATATTTAATGCCTAAATTCTCTGAGCAGAGCCTGGCTGACTAGCACCTCACCTCCTGCTATCTGAAAGCTCTGGGGCTAGGAGATGATCCCAGCTTGACACAGCCAACTAATACCCATGGGCATCGACACATCTTACAAAGTTTGACTCCATAGGAGCCAGACTCTGTCTCTCAGAAGTCTTTTCTAGCACACAGTGGGGTTCACTCATCCCTTAGATTTATCAATTGCTGACTATGTACTAGGCATGAGGGATTTGAAGCCAGACCCATTGCTTATGTTCATAGAAAAATCTACCATCCACGCACATGAATCAGTACCTTCTGTGCTGCTAGTGTGCTCTGATAAAAGGCTGACATGGAGCCAAGCCTGTAATCCTAGCTACTCAAGAGGCTAGGATCTGGAGGATGATAGTTTAAAGCGGGCCAAGGCAGAAAAGTCCATGCAACTCTTATCTCCAAAATAACCATCAAAAAGCTGGCCTGGCGACCCGACTCAGCTGGATGGAGTGCCAGCTGAGTGAGCAAGCCGAGCAAGGGCAAGGCCTGAGTTCAAATCCTAGTACTAGTTGACAAAAGAAAAGAATGACTTGGGAAGGAACTGCCTGCTCTCAACCTACCAGAATCCTCCTTCCTCCTCCCCTTATCCCTGTGATCCACCTGCACACTGCTGGCTTTGGTGAGTCACAAAGCCAGAGGAACTTTTTGTGCAGAAACCAGAAATAGTTTCAGAAGTATCAGGCACTAGAGGAAAAGCATCACCTTGCCAGGCTGAGGTCAGGTCTTCCCATAATCCCCTGGGGAGATGCACGCCAATCATCAGAGCAGAGTGGGGGGCGGAGCATCCACTGGGCACGTTTTGGCTCAGGTGACTCTTAAGTTGTTGCCCGGTAGGTGGAAGAGAGATCTAGACATTAAACTACAAGCACACAAGTGCACCCACACGCGCACATACTTGTAGACACATGCCTGTGAGTGGGGTTTTGAACAGTTCAGACTCTTTTGATGGTGGCCTTATCTCTACATTTTCCCCAATCAACAATTCAACTAAGTATTTATTAAACGCCAGCCATATGTGCAGGAGATGAGACATGACTAAATCATGGAAAACAACTGGTAATCAACCACAGCTAAATATGGCACTTTAGCTCATGTTTTCCCCCAGGAAGGGGCCATGTGGAGCACTGCTGTGGGCACAGACATGAGGCACAGTTTTACAGAAAAGAAGAAAGTCAGTCCACAGCTTCAGGAGGAGAAGGGCTAGATTTGCAAGCTATGTGTTGGTGAGCTGG